ATCTAAGTTGAGGCCAACTTTACGAGGGAATTCCGCTAGGTGTTGCGGTCGCCGCAGCCCGGGGTCCTCGCGAGCCGCGTCACTTGGAATCTTCGCTGCGTTAACCCCTAGCGGATATGGTCTTTTTCGACACTTGAAGGCACCGCCTACCCAAAATGGGATCTCAAAATTTGATCAGTAGTGGCGGTCTCCAACTGTGTACTTGCCCAACTCGCGCTGCCAAAAATTGCGCCAGCGAGAAAACTGCATTTGACATTGCCTCGGGCGATGTCAAATGCCACGCTGGCTCCTCCTTTTGAGTGGGCGTGACGTTCGTACCGCCCACCGTGCGCACCCAGCCAATCATCGTCCTGGAGAACTCGCCCTGGGGAGGTTTGTCGGAGTTTCGCGGATTCTTGACTTGATACATATTCTGAAGCTGAGACATGAGAAGGTATCGGGACGACAAGAACGTGGAAGGCGAGAATTTGGGTGAACGGTGCGTCTTTGAAGCGTGAGGCCACACCCTTAGGCACCAAGGGCTGATGAGTCTGAGAAATAGCCTGGAGACCGTTTGCGAATGCTAGTGGCCCAACTGCTAGCGAGGACCCTAGCCAGCCGACCATGACGCTCAGATTGAAATCCCTCGTACAATGCGGCTCTTCAAGCGAGCAAGTTATTAGAGATCAAACTTTCAATACTTTTTTGGGACTTGTATGTAGTGAGCTTCTCACAGCTGTGCAGCTTTATAAACGTTTGATTATTGATCAAAGAACTTTGGAAAATTTTTTCCAATGCGAGCATCTACATAATAATTACAAAATTATGGCAACGCCTTTATTTGCATTTAAACAATTAAGTTTTGTGTTCGGATTGCGTGAATGTCTTTTTAGCTTTGAAAATCACTTCCTTTTCCTCTTGGTTGCTTTCTTTTTCGATGACCTTTTGCCAGTTTTTCTAGCTGGAGCAAAAGCTTCTGGCGAATCACTTTTAACAACGGCATTTTTCTTTTTCATGTCTTTCGTCTTCTCCAGTTGCAATAAGACCGGTCTAGTAAAGCTAGACTTATATATCACTTTCATCGGTTTAGCATTGCCAGAAGTTGCTTTCGTCGTTGATAATGTTGAGCCTTTGTCCTGAGAGGATTCGGTGATATTAGTGTGTAAACTTTTTGATGGTGCCTTCTGCATCTGCGCCCTACTGCGTCTTTTCGCTTCTTGAGATGAGGACTCACTTCCACTTGCTCTGTTCTTTTCCAGTCTAGCTGCTTTCGCCTTACTTAGTTGGAGAAGCAGATGCTGAAGAGATCCAACTTTTAACGATCGCACGTCCTTTTCTTTCACTTCTCCTGGATCTTCTAGCGTACCATAATCAACCAGGTCTGGTTGTGTATCTTGCAGTTCTTTCAACCTGGCTCCCTCTCTCCCTTCTGCTGACAAGGATTCTTTGTGCTTCTCACGCTCTTTCAACCTGACTCCTTCTCGCCCTTCT